GTTCTATTATATGCCTGTCTTATTCCACTTGCAGCACTGAGATCCTAAGACCAGGGGATTTATAAACAGCATACATTTTCCTAACAGTTACAGAGACTGGAAAGGCCAATGTGGGGGCGTTAGCCGGCTCCGTGCCTGATGAGAACCGAGTCTGTTTCCCAGATGGTGCCTTAAATGCTGACCCGTCCAGAAGGAAGGCATGGCCTCACATGGCAGGAGGGATAGAAGGGACAAAAGGGCAAAAAGGGGCACACACTCCACAGCACTTCTAGAATGTCATTAATCCCATTCGCACAGATGGAGGCTCATGACCTAACCCTTTCCCCCACAGTGCCACCTTCTAATATCATCACTTGGAGTGGTTTGTTTGTTTGTTTGTTTTCCTATAGGGTGCATGCACTCGCCAGAAAGACAGAGAGATAGAAAGTGAGAAATCACCCCCCGGGTGATGGCCACACTGCAATCCCTTCTCCTCCATTCTCCTCTCGGATCTTGGGCACGCAAGAACATGCACCCAGCGTGAATTTAAGCCACCAGGTCCAGAACTCGAACTGTGGTCGACTACATGGGAGTCCAGCAACATAGCCATTACGCTAACTGCTGGTCCCTAATATCATCACTTGGTGGTTAGGTTTCAACATATGAATTTTGGAGAAATGCAAATCATAGAAACTAATGGTCCCACAGCCTCCACTCCCTGGCGAATTTGTCTATTTCTTCTTATGTTAATAGGCCTACCAATGTTTATCCTATACCATGGGTTGAAGCTATATTATTACATGGATATGATTTAGAATTATTATGGACTCCCAGTGAGCTGAACCTTTTCTCATTATAAAATCGTCTCTTCAAAAAAAAAAAAAGCCGACTCTTGGTATTAGTCATCTTTTGCTAAGCCAGGCTGCAGAAGCAGCATGGTAGTGTGAGTCACACACGCTCGTCGCAGTGGGAAGTGATGCATGTTTCATAGTGCATTAGTCAAAGGAAGCACCTGACCACACCTCCTGACACTCAGTGGCTTCCAACAGTAAGGGTTCCCTTCTCACTCACGGTAGAGTCCTCCGTGGGGCATTTGTGGCACTCCCTATTTTTCACTGTATGTTATCTTCATTCAAGGACCTAGGCAGATGAAATCATCAGTCCCACTGGGGACATGCTTTTCTTGTGACAGAGGAAAAGAACAATGCTTTTCAAAGCTCTGCCCAGGAGCGCCCACATGAGCTCCACTCCCATTTCATGACCAAGCCTGACATCTAGGGATCGGGAGTCAGGCTTCCCACAGGGAGGGCCAGTAAACGATTAAAAACAGTAACACAATCCACCACAATATTTCTAGCTACCTTTTCCCTTAGAGTCTTTTTTTTTTTTTTTAAGAGAAGAGTGCTTTTTTTTTCCTATAAGGTGCTTGTGCTTGCCAGAGAGACAGAGAGACAGAAAATGAGAAATCACCCCCTGGGAGGATGACCACACGCCAACCTCTTCTCCCTCTTTCTCCTCTTGTGATTTTGGACACACATATGTCCGGTGTGAATTTCAAGCCTCTGGGTCCAGGATTTGAACCGCAGTTGACTATGTGGGAGTCCAGCTATATAACCATTAGGCCATCTGTTGGTCCCTCCCTTATTGTCTATTAATTACCCAGCCTCAGCCAGCCCAATACCGTGGGCACTCATGTGTCTGGCATAGTCAGGGAAGTCTCCAGATGCAAACCTGGAACTTTCCCACATGGGCCAGTCTCACAGAGCACTGCATCACTACTGGGCCATCATCCGGCCTCTTCTGCCGTCATTGTGTTCCTTCTTTTCCTCCTTTCCTTCTTTTTTTAAAAATTTAGCAATTTAGGAGCCAGTAGGTGGCATGGTGGTTAAGGTGTTGGATTCCCACATGGCTGACTATGGTTTGAGTCCCAGGCCCTGCATCTTGAATATCACTCTGGGTATGTGTGTGTGCATGTTCAGAATCTTGATAGGAAAGTGGAAGAGGAAGGATTGCAGTGTGGCCATTCCCCTTAGGGGTGATTTCTCACTTTCCTTCTCTCCGTCTCTCTCTAGTGAACATATGTGCCATATGGCAAAAAAAAACAAAAACAAACCAAAAAAAAAAAGGAATTTTTCTTCTTCTAGTTAGCTTACAACTGTATTCCCCCACCCCCCACCCAGTGGTGATCTTTAAATTTTTAACACTAATAATTTATTAAAAGTAAAAAAAAAACATTATGAACAATGGAAGGATCTCAAATTTATTAAACTAATAACCCCTCCCTATGCAAGTTTCTTTGCTGTAAACCTTCGTGGCTCCTTCCCACTCTAACGCTGGACTTAGCCGTATCACTTGCTTTGGTCAATGGCATGTAAGAGAAGTCTTACAAATGTGCTGGTGCATTTCTGTTTGCATCCCTGCTATTGCTATGGAAACTTGCCTGGGCTACCAAACAGTGAGTGACACGTGGAGCAAAGTCAAGGCCATCCTAGATCACGTAAGCGACCCAGTCAAGTTCAGTCCTAACTCACTCCCAGCAGACTCTAGATATGTGGGCAATAATGTGGGCATATTCATTTGGAAATCTCATCAGTGAGAATTTTTTGAGACCTGTATTGACAGTTCTTTCAGAAAGCATTTGTGGGGGTTTTTTGTTTTGTTTTGTTTTTGTTTTTACTGAGTACCATAGGAATTATCTTCCTAAGCCTTTTTTAAACTGTTCATTTTATTAGCTTTTAGACCATGCAAACTGTATGGCCATGTGTGATGGTTGGGATTACAGTTTGTCCCCCAAAGTTTCATGTTTTAGAATTTGAGTGGTGATTAGATGTCCCCCAGAAATAATACATTGGATATGACCTATTCATATCCAATGAGCCTCGGGGACTGACTTATGATGGGGGTAAGGGGGATAGGGCCAGAAAGAGACAAAGCCACATATTCATAGGTCATACTCTGCTAAAAGTCTGCCTTCTGCCATTTTGTGATGCCTTTGGTCTTTCTAGCTACCATAATCGTGAGATATTAAGTCCTATTTCTTTATAGTTCACCAGCTTTCGGTATTTCTGCTAGCAATGCAAACATGGACTAAGAAATCATGTGATGGCAGGTTTTTCCTCCACCAAAAGCCAAGACAAAGAGAGTCCACTTTTATTATTGCCCACGTCTGCACAGCAAAAATCCTCCCCCCTCGTTTATCATTCTCATGTGAATATACTCTTTCTTGAATCCCAAATTTGTATTGCAATTGGGCCCTTATCCTACTTAGGCCTAGGTAAATGGCCCTTTGACAAGTTGGCAGCAGCATCAATGTTTACTTACCTCCAAAGATGACTTTCAAAATATTTGTCAGTATAGCACATGCACCAGTCAATCAGAACAGATTCAGACTGTCTGTGTATCACATCTGAACATCAGCTCTAATTTCCTAGGCTTGCGTTCCTACTTTCTTTCTACCCTGGATGATTTTCCTGATTTTCTTATATGCTTATCCGTGCATTTAAAAAGGGTGTTTGAAATATTTCTCCTAGCAATTTTGTTGCAGTATCATTTGGAGATATATAATCCACAATATTGCTGGAAATTAAGCAAGAAGTTTATTTGGCTTCTGCAATAAAACATCTAGAATAAAGAGTGCAAAAGCTGAGATGTTCATCTAATGTTATATGGGACTTAGGGTCTTTCAATCTTCTTGCTTTGTTACCTTTAGAATTTGTATGTCACTTCACAGGCATGTGGCGATGTTTGAACTTCTGAACTTCAGGTCTGCTTACAGCCAGGAAGAAAATAAAAATAGCAAAGCACTTAAGGAGTTACTCAACTAGAAATCCTAGTGGACTTTGTAAAAAATACTTTTCCAGAATTTCCAGTCAATAACTTCTAATTAGGGTACTTATTATTGGCAAGAAGTTGGTCACATGATCATTCCTGGCCCAATTACTAGCTAATGAGAATGAGAATACCGTGACTGGTCTGGGTCAATTATGAGTCATCCTTTCCAGCTGAAGGTTTCCAGGGAAGGTTTTACCTCCCTTGAGATGGAGAGATCTCTGCTACCTGAACAAGAGGTTGTTTGTTTGTTTTAAGGGACTGATAGAAAGAAGGGAGTTACTAGAATTCCCAATTTATGTGAATTCTTGGAGGCCTTGGATGTGGGTATGCCACAGTTGAGTTAAAAAGGGGGGTTGGAGCATAAAATCTTGAGCAGAATCTTTGACAAGTTGTTCTGCACCCACGCCAACTTCTGTGCTTCCGTATTTGTTTTCCTTGGTTTGGTTTCCCAGAATTTCTTCGCAGGATTCTCTGGAAATGTTCCAGCCACCACTCTACACACTGAAGTTCTAGAGCCCAAGATGGAAGACCAGCATAATAGAGCAGCTTGAGTTAAGACAGGCACAATGTCAAACAGGCATGTCATGCACCCCAAATTCAGAAGCCAATGTCACTCAATCCGTGTAGCTGCCTGGATTTCGGGTTGCTATGAAATAAGCTCTTCCACCGAGCGGAACTTTGGTCTCTCTACACGGGGCCAAAGGTAAGAGGCTTGAGTCCTACCTCTCTTCTACACTATCTGAAGGGTAGATGGAAGAGTAGAACAAAGGGTGGAAGAATCGGAGGAAGCACTCCTGTTCCACCATCTTTGGGGACCCGTGCCCAGTACGATCCTTCTCACTAAACATTTATCGGGCATCCAGACGGTACATTCCAAACACTGCGGTAGGAGCTGTGGAAGCAGAAATGGATTTTGACCTAATTTCTGCTAGGGAAGCTGAGATGGTTCAAGCTTTAAAAAGAGCTTGGAACCCAGGATCAGCTCCCCAACCTAAGTCAACGTACTACTTAATTACTTAAACTTGATTGACCCGCTCCAGAACGTACTGCGCAGGCGCCGGTCCCCTCCGCGCGCGCTCCCCACACCCGACCGCAAACTCGAGTTTCGCATGCGCACAACGCTTTCTCTCGCTGACGCACCCCCGGAAGCACTGGCAGTTTCGGGGGCGGGACCGGAAAGCGTTTCCGGGGGCGGGAGGCGCAGGCTGAGACTGTCGCGGCGGCGACGGCTCGGACAGGCCTGGTGCCGGCGGCGGAGAGGATCCCTCGGGCAGGGGATGTGAGCGCGGAGCTCCTGTCAGGTACGACTGGGCTGGGACAACGGGCGTCGAGGATGGGTGGGAGAAAAGCCAGGAGATGGGCGAAGGGCTTTCCTGCAGGCCCCGGAGCGCCCCGGAGCGCAGACCGCGACACGTAGGTCCCCGGGGCAGCCTCTCGCCCAAGGTCACCCCGCGGCAGGAGAGCTCGGCGGGCCAAAGCGCTTAGAGATCCAGTCCCGGTCCGTCCGTTGGCCCTTCGGGGCGCGGAGTCCCGGTCGGTCCGTTGGCCTTTCGGGGCGCGGGGTGGGCGCGGCTTGGCCTCGGGTACGACTTGCTCGCGCGCGAATCTGGCCGAGCCGTGCCGAGCCGGGACAAAAAGCTGCACCTGGACTTCGTTAGTCTGTTCCCCGCTGCGTTTCCCCTCCGTTTCTGACCGTCACCTGTTGTAACAAGTCCTTTTTGTCTCTTAACTCTGCCCCCGTCAGCTTGATACTTCTCTCGAGATCTCTGTGTACCTGGTCTCTGTACTTCTGTCTCCACTTTTCTACTGTGTCGCTTGACCCTGTCTCTGCCACTCAGTCCTTACTCCCATTCACCGCCTGCTAGTCTGACTTTTTGGTTCTCTCTGCCAATTTCGTGTCCGTCTCTCTTCTGTCTGTCTGTTCTAACTGGGCTTGTCTGGGTGGGGCGGAGCAGGCCTGTCCGGACCTCTGAGCCATGGAAGGTGACTCATGACCCTGTGAAGCTCCTTGCACTGGTGACACTCTGTGACTCGACCGCAGTCTGGCCTCAACTCCGACAGGTGTCGCCCAGCCTAAGTATCAGTGCAGCAGCGCTTGGCAGGCAGACTGGAGGCACATCTCTGGGCCAAGGCAGCTTGATAAGTCCTCCCCTTTTCTTACCTCTCACCTTTCATACCTGCACAGCTCCCCACCCTGTACACCGCCATGGTCTCTCAAACTCTTGAGTTACAGCTGTTTAGCTAGGCCTTGTCTCCAGGTGAAGAAGGGTCAGGCTGAGGTCTGCCCTTGAGTCTTGGAACTGTGGCAAGGATTTCTGGGAGAGCTGCGAACTTAGTTAAGAGATTGTGTTAGTTTGTTCAGTGCAATTTCCAGAAACCTATTAATTAGGGATTCATTCTTTGCTTTACACAAGTAACACTGGAGAAATGAGCTAGACCCAAAATGACAAATACTGCTTGAGACTACTTAAACAAAGTACTTAGACAAATTCATTGAGACAGAATAGAGTTTAATGGGCTGGGAGAAAGAGTTTCTGTTTAATGATTCAAAATTTTGGGACTTATGAAAAAGTTTTGGGCCAAGGCAGCTTGTGTTTATACAACATTGTGAATGTTAACGCCCTGGATTGTGCACTTAAAAGTTACAGTGGTAAATTTTATCAATATTTTACACAATACAAAAAAAAAAAAAGTACTCACTGGAGACTTGAAAGGAATAAGCTGTTCTAAAATATGATTTTTAAAAATGCACTCTGTGGCCGTTAGGAACATTTTGTTGAACTTACTGATACTGACTTTTTTCACTGCGGTGGCTACAGCGGAGGTCCTTAGAGTTTGGTCAGAAACTCCCAACACTTGTACTTGCTGAAGAGTCCCGCTTTCTTGTCTCTACCTCCCTTAGAATCCGTGCAGGAATTTGCTGTATAAATAGGAAATTTGAGGAATATTTTACTCTTCACTTGTAAGCTTGGGGAAAATAGCCCTTTTATAATGATAATGCAAAATTACATTATTTATGTTTTCTTATGGGGGTGCCTTTGTTTTTTCATGTTCTCACCTTTAAGGTAGTTTATTGAGGGTTTTACTTAGATGTTGTAGCTGAATTACCACACATTTTAATAAATCCTAGATATAGTGGATTGCTTTACGTATCACCAAGGAACGAAGACACTGCCAATTTAGCTGTGGCATAATGTTTCCTTACCATTTAGGCTTTTATTTTATTGAAAACACTTTTATATCTTAGACAGTTTTTATGATAGCTATACATATCCTAACACATAAAAAAGGGAAAAAATAAGTAAAAATAAATTGGTTAAAGTGTTTATTAAACTTAATATTCCAAGTCTTTTCTGAATACTTTTTTCAGTTCAGAGTCGTAACATGTGGTTTTCCCACGCAGTGTCATCTGTTGTGCCATCAAAAATATTGATGAAGCTTTTGGAGTGTTCTGTCATTGTCTCAGACAGTGACAACTATTAAAACTGCCACCTGGTGATCATGTCCTGATTTTGGACATTTTTAAATGTAAAAACATTTTAGAATCAATTGAATACGTTCCATATTGTTTTCTTTTTCACCTTATGATTGTAGTTAGAATAGAGACTTTTTTGTGTAACTCATCAGGAAGTTTTTTTCCTTTTTGTATGTTGTAATGTGTTACCGAACTCAAACCAGGTCCTCGCCTCTAGGTGCTACAAGCCAAAACCAAAGGCACAGGTGTGAAAGAAAGTGTAGCTTTCTTGTCATGTGCAAAGCAAGGAGAGTGGGCAACTCTTGCTGAAAAGGCCAAGTCTCCCCAGGAGGTTCCTTTACCCTGCCTGCATTTTTAAGGAGGTCCTAGGCGCATTATTAATTCAGTGATTGGTTGAATAGGGCATAAGTAGCTCGCAGCTTGATTGGCAAGGCCTTAGGTAATCAAATATCTATTGTGGGAGGGGCCAGTCCTCTGGTTTTGGCATCCTTCATCCTGGGGTCTGTGCTCAGGACCGCAGTTTCCATCCTACAGAACACCTTAACCTTCCGTTAAGTGGGAGTTTTAGAAATTTTATGGCCCTCATTTGTGCCCAGTGTTGCTTAATTAGCATAACCAAAGTCTGAAGTCTTACGTCTTGCTTGTGGGCCATTAAAATTTAGATTAACCTTGCTTTCCAAGCCCCTTAGACACTTTACTTTTAGTTCAACCCTTATTAATTTTTCAGTTTGGGGAATTTTCATTTTCCCTTAAGAGAAGGGGAAACTGAGAGTGTAGCCCCATTTTAGGGGATCCTTGCTCGATTTCAGTATGTAGTTTATAATTTTTATGAAATAAGTGCCATATTTGTCTTCTTTCTTGATTTGAAGTTTTTATCCAGAATTTATGCATATGACAGTGCAGTTAAAAACATTTCCTTGCCTTTATTGAAAAGTAATGGGAAGTGGGGAGTTAGTGCCTAAAACAACCCCTTCTCTTTCAAATCTCAAATAACTTATCCACAGTGGAATGTTTGCCTGGAAGTTTTAGTGAGACATGTAACAGTGGCCCAAAATGTAAGGGGGTCATCAGTCAAACTTCAAAATGTAAGTGGGTTCTTTTTATTTTAAACCTTAAAGTAGGGTATTTTTTGTTTGTTTTTTAGTTTGCTATAGGGACACGTACTCACCAGAGACAGAGAAAATAAGAAATCACCTCCTGGTTTTTGGCTTAAGTGTTCCAGTTAGGAAAAAAATGGATGCTGATTGGCTATGGTCAAGTGATCAAAAGCACTTTTCCAAAAGGTATTTGGATTCCACAGCTTTATATAGACATTGACTGTATTAGTTTCCTAGTTTTAAGGATTGTGGTCTAATAGTGAAAGATGTATTCTAATAGTGTAGGATTTTACACTAAAGGAAACTGGGCAAGAGGGCTGTAGGAACTCCCTACTGTCTTGGCATGTTTTCTGTAAATCTCAAATTACTACAAAATAAAAAGTTTACTTTAAAAAAATGCAAAGGCAGGGGCCAGTAGGTTGCATAGTGGGTTAGGGCACTGGATTCTCCATGGCTGACAAAAGTTCAAGTCCCAGACCTGGTGGTTTGAAAATCACACCGGGCAAGAGTGTGTGCTGGCAGGTGGCGGGATGGTTAAGGGTGCTGGACTCCCACATTGCTGACTGAAATTTGAGTCCTGGACCTGACAGCTTGCTTTCTCACTCCTTCCACCCCCTTTATTTATTTATAAATAGGAAAATACATTAAATTTACTAAATAAAGTTAAGTAATTATTTAAAAATAAATAAATAAATAAATGCAAAAGCAGAAGCCAAGAAGTTGCAGAATGAATATTAATACAACCAAAAATAGCAGCCCCCTTTTTTTTTTTGAATTACCAATGGCATACTGGCTCCCCAGAGAGAGAAAGAGGAAATATTTCCTCTCCTCCCAAGGCATGGTCATGCTGCAATTCTTCCTTCTTCCATTTTCCCATCTCATTGAGATTTTGGGCACCCACTCATGCTAGCACATAAGCTCAGGTGTCCAATGTATTTTTTTAAAAGAATTATTTATTATTTACTTCATTTATTTTAATTTGACCAGAGAGAGAAAGTGAGAAAGCAAGCCTCCAGGTCCTGGACTCAAACCATGGTCGGCCATGTAGGAGTGTCCAGCGCCTTGACCACCGTGCCACCTGCTGGTCCACATTTCTTTTTTCATTTATTTATTTTTACATTTTTCCACAAACATTAACTTTACATAGCAAAAAATTTTAGCTCATACTCCATAATTCTTGACAGTTTACAAACAACTTTCAAAATTTCAAAATACTGAATTTTAAAGATAATGTTCAAAATATGCCTTATAATTTTGTATAATTTTATAACTCTATAACAACAGAAGCAGTATGGTCCACATATTTTTAAGCTACCAAGGCCATAGTACAGGCTCCAGGGGAGGGATTCTAATCATGGTGGGCCAAGTAGGATCCAGCTCCCTTTGCGTAATGCTTAACCGCTGCACAATGGGGCTGACCCAAAATATGGGTCTTTATTGGTTTTCTTTCTGCTCCTCATTCTCTGTAGTGTTTATGAGCAAGACACGTGTACATAGTGAATGGCACCAACATTTCTTTTACATTTTCAATGTGATTTTTCCTTTCAGAAATCTGATTTAATTTGAAGAAAAACTAAGAAATGGGTTCCTCTTCCTCATTCATACTTCTTTTTGATGGCCTTGGGATAAGGAACTTTATCCCAGAAATGTGACTTTGTATTAGGTAAGCTAAGGCTTCCTAATTGTACAATTTTTTAAAAATAAATTTGTCAGGGGGACACAAACTTTC